CGAGAGGGAGGTAGGCTGCGATGCTGTGTGCGCTGACGCTTTGTTGCCGTCTGGGCTAGCTCTGGATGCTGCTGGAGATAGGTCGGAGAGTCACCGCAGTTGTGCTTGACGTGCACGTGCTTGCCGTCCTGTGCGACAACCAGCCTGGCCTGTAGCTCCATTTTGCGAGCCGTGTAGTCATAGACGGCCTTGATGGAGGTGGCGATGAGCATGAAGCGGTTATGGTCCTGCACTATTTCGCTGAGCGGCGGGTGGTCCCACATCTTGCCAAAGAGGGCGGAGAGAGCGCCCTGAAGTTTGGAGCCGCGATCCAGGACAGTGTGCGTCTCATCCTTGCCTGTAGCAACCGCAACCAGGCCGTTGTCCCCTGCCACGAGCTTTGCCGTCTCAACGACATGCCATGTGACCCCCCTCTCGGTCCTAGCCAACTTAATGCTTTCAAACAGGGGCGGGGGCGCAAGTATCACCTTCATCCTTTTGGCCCAAAGCGGTAGGAGTTCGTCGTATCCACCTAGCAGCATCTGCTGCGTCAGAACATGCATCCGGCAGAGGACGCGGAGCCACTCCTGGAGCTTGTAGGATTTGAGCGCGGCAACCAGGCCCGCTTCCTCCTTCAAAGAGGGGGAGGAGCTGGCGGAGAGGGTTCTTCCGAACTGGAGGCTGATCCGGCTTGGGAGGCTGGTAGTTGCGAGGGTCAGAGTCCGGAACGCCTGTGTCGTGGGTGCCAGTGTCCTCTGCCGTGGTCTGTGCCAGGCTAGCTGCTGGGAGTTGTGTCCTGGTCAGGGGTCCAGTTGGTCCACTATATAGACCCGGCTTAGGTGGTGGGCCTGGGAGACCCGGTGAAGGTCTCGGTTGGACTGCCGTGTCCAAGAGGGGCGGGAGGCTTGAAAACCACTTCCGCGGCCTTGGCAGAGGTGAGGTTGGGAGGCCTCGGCTTTGAAGCTTTGGGTCCTGTGCCCTCCACTATACCGATGCCAGACCTGGTCGCTTGGTGCCTTTGCCGATGTGGCGACCAGGTGGCAGGTGCCGACGGCTGGGCTGGGCAGGAGGCAGTCGCCGCAGAAGAGAGCTGGTCCATCAAGAAGGAATTCGGCGTACGATACGAGCCCCGACGAAAGTGGTTGACCACTCCAACGCTGGTGGGAAGGGTAACATTCCTGCGAGACTTCTTGTTGAGGCAGTGTCTGCAACTGAGGTAGCCAGGCTGGTCCTCAGAGAGGCAAAGCCCTGGGAATGAGATCAAGGACGTCATTGCCATTCAGGTCCTGATAGTACCTTGTCTGCGAAAGGGCGTCCATGATCTTCTCGTAGAGGTTGCCCGCAATAACCTCGTCTGCCCACATCTGCAATTCCGCATTTGTGGGGGCATCGCCCCCCAAGGTCGAGCTCGTGGGAGAAGCCGCCTGACTCCTTGCCCAAGCTGCATCTGACGCGGCATCCGGCATGGCGCGAAGCATTTGAGCCTCATTTCTCGCCTTGGCCGCCAGGTCACCAGCAAAGCCTCGCTTCCAGTTCCAGCATCGAGTGAACATGGCGATCTTGTTGAGGCGCGTGATCATATAGCGGCCATCCGTGGGAATGTCGGAGTGGGCCTGGAGGTCCTTGTTGTGGCGCTCCCGTAGCAAGTAGATCGGACCAAATCTGCTGGAGATGTTCCATCTGTGCTGCGGGGGATGTCCCAGGTTCTCGCGGAGGGCGCCATATAGAAACTTGCAAAAGATGAGGTAGTCGCTCGCCGCCGCCCCATCGAGGATGGCCGGGCTGTAAAATTGGCCTCCAGGAGCAGCGGATGGCGAGGTCGGCAGTAAATGATGCCCTGAAAGATGTGATCGCCGCGGTTGCCTATGGCCATGACCATGTAGTCCTTCGGAAGTTGTCCGGGCGGGGACGGGCAGTGCCCCAGCGCTGAATGCGCGTAAGACTGGGCAGTGCCCCATTCCTCCGCTAAGCAGGACCGAAGCTCATCAAACTGCATCCTCAGCGAGCACTTGATGTCAAGATAGAGGCCCCCATGCTCGTACAGGTACACGTACCGAAAAAGATCAGCGCGATGGGCTGGACTTTGCAAGACGTTGTACAAGTCCTTGCTGTACTTGCCGGCGTGGTCCAGGAGGGTTTGCCGGATGTCCTCATCGTCACAGAAGGTTCGAGTCATCTCCGGCATGTACTTGCGGCACATTTGAGACGGCTCCGGCTTCGAGTCGTGCATGTAGGTCTGCATCACACCCTGTGGGAAAGGTTGGTCTTCCAGGGCTTCTCCGAAAGAGTAACGAAGGGACCACAGTGAGCGCGAAGCGCGCAGAGCAGCCGCCAGCAGGTCACCGACCGTTTCCGCAAGACACAGCTCTCTCGTTGCCAGCATCTCGCGGTGAACGTTGGGCAGCTTGACATTCCAGGAACATACCAGTAGGACTGGAAAGGCCTCCGGCTTCGAAGAAACCATAGCCCTGAGTGCCCGGACGGTGAGGGCCCCGATTGCTGCTTCCGCACTGGCCGTATGGAAGCGCAGCTTATCCTTGTTGCTGTACAGCCTGGTGGGGACAAGCGGCCGGAGCGTCATGATACGTTGATCTGCGAGCTCCCAGAGATCTAAGGAGTATGCTGCCCTTGCGCCCCCTATCCAGTCGTAATGGACCTGTCGATCCTCCGGGATGGAGTCCTCAATGGGGATCAAGGCGACGTTCACCTTCTTGTGGAGGTTGTCTTTGAGCACGCCAATCACTGCCGGATTGGAGTAGGGAACTCCGCCGGGACAGTGTCCGCAGATGTGGAGGCATTGCCACGAAAGCAACTCCAGGATGGAGGGCGTGATGCTCCCTGAGCGCTTGTAGTTCTGAGTGAGGGCCGCTCCTGGGCAAATCAGGGCCTGGCCCCCAAAAAGGGAGCGGGCTCCGTACTGGTCTCCAGTCAACATGTACTGGAAGGTGCTATCCGTGAGCGCCAGAAATTCCAGGTCCTGAAGAGTGTCCCCCCAGTCAGCCGAGTCTTCAGGGACAGGAATCATGGCGGCAGGCAACTCTTGCTGAGAGAGTGGCAGAAAAACTTTCGAGCCCGGTCGGCTCTCGAATCGTGCCGGCTTGTAGTAAACTGACAGGCTCCTACTGCTGCACACAGGGCATTAGCAAAAGTCCGACTTAAAACCTTGGCTGCAGGCTGTGTGGGCAAACCTCGTTTTGAAACCACAGGCTACTCCGGGTGTCCACTACCAGCTGCCATAGGCTGCCTCAAAGCCCTACGAACACAAAACTAGGCACGCAGCCAGTGGCCTTCGCTGAGTAGCCAGTGGCTCAGTCAGGGAGTGGTCAAAAAGCGATTCGTGACCAGCCGACGCCACTCGACAATCAATATGTCTCGAAAGTGCATGTAGATTCTGGCTCCGTCCGGCCAATGTTCGTACCTCGTATGGCCGTTGGCCGGGATGTGAGGCTGCAGCGAACCAAGCTCGAGCATCATGGGGTTGATGGTAGCGGGTAGCGGCGAGAGCCTTAGAGGCAGGCGCCAGCACAGCATAGATATCCGCAGGAAAAACGTTGGTGAAGATGATGAAGCCGCGATCGACAGTGCCAATCTCGCCGCCTGCGGCCTCCAAGTACGGACGTAGGCGCCTGGCCTTATCGCAGGCTGCTAGGAGAGCGCCGGGAGACGGCATAGGATCATCGCGGTCCAAGAAGAAAGCAAGGCCAGTGGGAACCGTCAAGAACGCGAGCACGGCCCGGACGGTTTTGTCATCAAGGCACAGAAGCATGACGAGCGCTGGATTGCAAGTTAGACTGTTGCCTACCACCTATTTTGTCCGCTGGCTAAGCCCTAGGAACACCGGCTCTAGGAATGCAAAGCCGCTAGTGTCATGAAGTGGGCATGCCAGGCACTAAGGCTCGCAGGGTGGACCTGTGCTCGTTGTAGCAGCCCGCCACAAAGTCCGGCCTGGGACAGGGCTTTGGAGGCAGATCTGACCAACAGTGGGCGCTTGCCAGCTTGAAGTAACTAAACAGCAGCAAACCTACCGGGTCAGAAAAGGTCAGCACTATTTTCGCCACACTGCTGGTAGTCAGGGACTGACCTGTTGCCAGGGGCTCCGCCCCGCTATGCCTTTCGAGCAGTAGGGTCGGAAAAATTGGAGTAACGGCACCTCCAGCCACAGTCCTCCCTAAAGAAGAAAGCCCATGCAGCTCAGAACAGCGCAATCGCGGACAGTTAGCATGCTCGAGTCCCGGATAGTGTAGGCAGCCACAACGACGCGGTCTCCGCTCCACGGCAAGGTGGAGTGCAGCGCACGGGGGTCGAATGTCTGTGGGGCCGGCACGCCGTCTTGCAAAAGAGGCAGCACGTGGCCCCTATGGCCAGCCATGCTGGATTCTCCACCTTCACGCTGAACCCATAGCTCTCCGCCTTCAAAATAGGTGAGAGGAAAAACCAGGTTGGAGTTGCCCTGCAGATTGTGCTGGTCCCGGTGAGGCCTGGAAGAAACATTCTGCAAGACGGTAAAGGACGAAAACTTGTGACCCGGAGCCATACTTCGAATCAACAAGGCCAGCACCAGCACAACCAACTCATGTCAATTCATGTTGGAGGGTGTTGTTCTGCAGCCCTCGCATGGGGCCGTGTACATACGCCCCTGCCCCAAAGACCAGAGGTGGCAGGGCAACACCGTACACCCCAGCCTGATGAATCCCCGGACGCCGGGCCTCTGCAACCTGTTCCGTGGCAGGCGCGAGTGGAGGGACTAGTGGAAGGCTCGGAGGTTGGTTTGACCCCCCTGCTCCTCCCAGTTCAGGAGGGGTCGACTCTGCAAGCCTGCATAGATAGCTGGTCAAACCGCGGCTTTCAGTGTGCGCTCCTCCAGGCGCCCCGGTTGCTGCCTGTAGTTCTGTGCAGATGGCAGGATGGGGTCAAAAGTCAGGTCTCTATCACAGGCCTTCGCGACACCTTCTTAATTCCGGTTTGGCAAGAGGGCCAGAGCAGAAGCCTAACTCAGTACAAGCTCTCATCGGGAGTGTTTCGTGTAGGCGACAGCGTCAGGTCAGGCCACTACCGCGCCTTCTGGCCGCAGCCTGTGTCGGGGATGATGGTTAGTGACGACTTTGTCCCCCCCGCTCTTGCTGGGCCCTCAGATCTGACTCGAATATACAAAGGCAGCTATTTAGTCTTTTTGTCTCGCTGCGAGTGATAGGGGAAGTGCTGGCCTGCTACGATCAAGCCTTTACTGCCATTGTAGGGTGCCCGTGCGTGGGAAGGCCCAAGCCACTACAAGTAGGCTGGGCCCGCCCGACGTCAAGGCCAAACGCGCAGCAGGCGCGTGCAGATGCTGTTAGGTCGACCTAGTGGAGGACCTGTGCAGGCC